AAATCCTCAGAAGCTGAGTGAGAGCTGGGCACCTTAGCACAGCTCCCGTGCCCACCTCCCAGAGCGCGGGGCTCACCATAGGGAAGCTCAGCTTCCGCACGATCTCCGCGAAGTCCTCATTCCGCTCCTTGACCTGGGACTGCCCTGCGGCGAAGTGGCTGCAGACGAAGCAGAGGCTGGTCGTGTGGAACAGCAGGCGGATGGCCACCGCTCCCTTGTTGCCAGTGGCGCCTCCCATTCCCGTCTTCACAGTGTCCACGGCGACATCCCTGGGACACGGAGAACCGGAATCAACGACGCGACACCAACAGGTCCCGGTGCCCGAGACATCAGGGCCGGACGTCACATAATGACAGGAGCGCGCACCCGAGGCCACTGGAGGGCGAGGTGGTGACTGGCACCGTTTCCCAGTGCAGGTCACTCCTTCCTCAGACACACGGGAAACAAGCAGCGGCGGGAGCTGGCGGAGGCACCCACCTGATGAAGGGCGCGTGCTGCGGGCGGATGAAGACGAACAGGCAGACGCCCACCAGCTGCTCGGAGGCCAGCAGCACGTACTTGTTGTCCCGGGAGAGGGTCTTCTGGAGCTCCACGGCCCAGAGCTTCTGGTTCGTGGTGCTGCGGGCGGAGCAAAGACACGGACAGGGGCGCCTGCTTAGTAAGACAGCTGTCAATTACACTCCATAGTTTATATTGTACTCACATTTTTAAAAATGTTTTGATTGATTTTGAGAGAGAGATAGAAACATCGATGAGAGAGAAACATCATCGATTGGCTGCCTCCTGCACGCCCCTACTGGGGATGGAGCCCTCAAGCCGGGCCTGTGCCCTGACCGGGAATCGAACCACTGACCTCTTGGTTCATGGGTTGATGCTCAACCACTGAGCCACACTGTCTTCTTACAGGGTCCAATCAAGGCCCACACTCTCGTACCATACTATTTCACCCACAAGTTTATTCTGAAAATCTTTTTAAAAGTCATCAAAGATGGGCAATTGCTCAACTTTAAAAGCAGACACACTTGGTTAAAATAAAGCTGTTAAGCTCTGGGTTTCACTCAAATAATTTGATTTGTAATGAGGCTTCAGAACAGCAATTCCCAAAGTGTGGTGTGGGAACATCCCTGGGGGTCCCCAAACCCACGAGCTCGAAGCCATTTCCACGCACTACTGAGCCCCTGCCTCCCTCTCCGTGTCCACGGGTGTCCGCTGTCACGGGGCGGAAGCAACGAGGCCTGAGCGCCGGGCCCCTGGTGGGCGCCCTCCTCACTGCCTCGCACTTTATTTATTTATTTATTTATTTATTTTTATTTTTATTTTTTTTAAAATATATTTTATTGATTTTTTACAAAGAGGAAGGGAAAGAGATAGAGAGTTAGAAACATCGATGAGAGAGAAACATCGACCAGCTGCCTCCTGCACATCTCCCACTGGGGATGTGCCCACAACCCAGGCACATGCCCTTGACTGGGATCGAACCTGGGACCTTTCAGTCCGCAGGCCGACGCTCTATCCACTGAGCCAAACCGGTTTCGGCCGCACTGCACTTTAAAGAGCGCATTTCACTGAGACGGTCCCGATGCAGCAGCCAACACTGACTTGATCGGAGCGCAGCCCCGGCCCCTCCCTTGGGCTGTGTGACAAAGGGATACACACAAAGCGTCTGCCTGCTCTGTGACAAGTGGCTGTCATTTCTCGGAAAAGCCCCTGACAGTGTGAGCTGAGAGATGAACTGCCACTTTTTTCATAGAAAACAATTTGTACTTAAAGAATGAATCCCAGAAAGACTGGTTATTCAGACTTAGGTTATTTAGCAAATCCTTTTTGGACCAATCCTATCTTTTCAAGGGAAACAACCTTCGGTATGTGCTCCCAATGATAAAATTTGAGTTTTTAAGCAAAACTGAGAATTTTGGAAAACGTGTGGCTGCTCCTGTGACCTTGACAAGTCCCCGATCCTCCACAGCTGCTGCTGAGGTCAGTGACGATGGCACCGACGTGTATTCTGAATGTGTTAAGGGCACGGCCAACACGTGAAGATCTCCCTAACTCAGCGAGCTAACGTCTTCTCAGTGAACAACAAGTGATGTTTCAAAATCATGCATCAGTCAAAGACAGACCAATAAAAAATGAACATTCGCACAAAAAGTTCATTGCTGTGTTTTCAGATTCCACATTGCCACTAAACTTTAAGAAACTACTCTATTTGTTGAGTTTTGGTGTAGTCTCAGAGAAAAAATTACCGGAAAAGGCCATTAAAATATTTCCATTTCCAACTACATACTTATGTAATTTTCGTCATATAGTTCAACCAAACAACACACCACAACAGACTCCTGCAAAAGGAAACGTGAGAAGCCAGCTGTCTTAAGCCAGATATTAAAGAGATTTGTAAAAAAATTCTTTAAGATTTTCAACGTTCTTCAGAAATTCTTGTAGAAAAGATCCGATACCAAGTCTGAGGACTGCTCTTTCACAGCTTAAAGGGACGTCACTTATTTCCTCTCAATCTCTGCAGACAGACACTGCTGAGCTGCGTATCTGCCTCCACGCTGCCCCAGGACGCCGGTGCTGCCCGCTGGCTTACCTCGCATTCACAATGTTGCCCGCATTCAGCTCCACCATCTCCTCAAACCCGATCGCAAATATGTCTGTCGGCTTACTTCTTCTCTCTGCAATCACGCATTCAAGAAAGACCATTAAAATGCAGCCTGTCAAACGGCCCTGCCTCCAGCCCCCACACGACTGGGATCGTCACCAGATCTCATGAAGATCCACGTCTGTGTTTTCAGTTTAACCAAATTCAAACTGAAGACAAAAGCCCAGGCGTGGAACAACATTACTTTAAATTTACTTCACTCAGGCGCCCCAGGGCTGCTTCTCTAAGACTGTTGTTCTGGGAGACCCTTAAGGCCTTGCACAGATCACTGTGAAAGAATTCTTGCTCGAGTTCATACCATGGACAGTAGAGGAACAAGCCCCTCTAACAGGCTAACGTGAACAACACTGGAGGGGAAGCGGGTCTTAGAAAAGGCTCAGACAACAAGCGGCTGAGAAAACCGCAAATTCGAGGTAACTGTTGGGAGAGATTTTTTACATTCAAATTCGAAAACCACAGGCCTGGTCCTTTGTGCTTTTCAGAAAGTAAAAACCTAGAAATAAAAAGGAGGGAAGCCTTTGATGGACTTGGTCTATAAAATGTTGGACTTCCAATTTCTAACCCCAAGCTTCCTTGGTAAGTCATGCATCCTGAGAAGGGCTCCCTTGTTTTCCAGGTTAAGAAATCAGTCGGGACTTGTCAGTTACACCCACGTCATAAAAGGCCAACCTTGAAACTCCTGGATGCCCGCCAGCCTGGGGGCATCAAGAAGCCAGTCGGTGAGGGTCTGGTTCTTAAAAGCTATGCTGCGGAACTGCTTCCCGCCGTTCACATTCCAGGTGCCCACACACACGCGGATCTTCTTGGGCTTTGAAAACTTGTAGAAACTCTCGCACATGCTCTTCAGAACTTTCGAAGAGGCTAATCAAAGACAAAACACAACAGAGTTTTAACTGCACTAAAACGGTGATGAAAACGGATTTTCACCGCTGAGAAGTGGCGCCCACAACGTACAAGCATCACGGTAAACAAGCACGAAGCACGGTGGGCACATGCAGAGGCAGAGAGCAGCCCTGAGCAGAGCCCAGCCCGATGCGACCCACCAACACAATTTAAAAGTCGACCGCGTAGACACGGTCACCAAAATAAGAGAAGCTATGGTGAAGTTACTGCAGCAACACACAACATGCGGAGGAACGGTTCTTTTCAATGAAATGCTACGTTGTTTTTGTAAGGCACAAAATTAGAGACAGGACATTTTTTAGAAGTATGCCATTGACCTTCATATAACTTTCATTCAAAGGCTGGTAAAAATATAAATTTACTTTCTCCCCAAACAAAACATTTAAGGACATTTACATCTAAGATTCCAGCTACTAACAGGTGGTTGATGAATTAGGGCTCCCTGACAAAGATACAAAGTCTGGATGACAAGGAGGTGCCGGAGATGAGGTCACTGATAAATGCTTCCCATCCCACTCAGAGTGGAAGCAACTTCCTGGAACCATGTGCCTTGCCTGTGCCCTCACCTGCTAGCCATCCCCCGTTCACTCACTGCTCAGCCACTGCCCTCCCGGCAGTGTCAGGCCCGCTCCTGCCACAGGGCCTTTGCACTGGCTGCTTCCACTGCCTGCACGCTCCTCCCTCACTTCATTCAGGTCTTCACTTTGTTGGGAGGTGCCTCATTAACATCCACATTCCGTGCCTAACCTCCTCCGTCCACTCCTTGCTTTTTCTCTATAGCATTTCTCACCGTTCACAAACTACGCGTTTTATCTATTGATCTGTAACTGTCTGTCTCTCTTCACAGAATGAAAGCTCCAGGAGGGCAGATATGTTGGTCTACTGCACTATCTTAGTGACTAGAAGCCCCTGGTACAGAGGAAGTGCTCAATAAATAATTGGTGAATGAATGAATGCCCCATACACCTGAAATCCTCCATCTCTTGCCCTATTTTCCTTCCTTCTAAAGCGCACTTCCGTCGGTTAAGTTAATTTCTCGGCACTTAGAGTGGATGGAACCATAGAGGCCCTTCATCTAAAACAGAGATGATGCACTCAACTGGCAGCAATGGGTCAAAGGAAAAGAAAAGCAGAACGATTCTCACCGTTCACCACAGGACACAGCTTTATCCTATTATTTATTGTATGGAACCAGGACACCGCAGTTTGGTGAGAGAATGAGCCAAAGAGGGAAATAACCTGTGAGCACAGCTCTGATCCCAGGGCAGCTTTCTGCCCTCACTGCTTGGCCTGACCGCTTGCGCAGAGGTGTGGAGGTGGAGAAAGCAGACGGTGTGTCCTGGCTGCTGGCCTAGGTGCTGGAGGCTGGCTGACCTCAATACAGACGCTGGTCTGTATAACTGAGGCCACTGCCATTGTTCCTACTTCGCAAACAGCTGCTGCCACCCTTTCTGTATCTAAACACCAGTCCTTCATGACCTGCTGCTGAAAACCATCAGCCAGACCATGAGCGGTGTGAACAAAAACGTGCCGCCACATTGTATGAACTAACAGTCAGTTTATAAATGGAACGGGTTTTAAAAATCCTAGCTTTTCTCCACCGGCCGGCCCTTAACCTTCACGTGCAGAAAGAAACGAGTCTCTGCTCAAACGGATGTCCACCCTCAGCACCACACTGTCCCCCGGGAAGTGCATCTCAGGACGAGCCCAGAGAGCTGGGGTGAGCTCGGCCTCCGTCCTTTTCAGGAAAACGCCCACGTCTCTCGAAGCGCTCGGCACCACTAGCCAGACAAGCCCTAGTGACACGGGATCTGAGTGAAGGGGAAAAGGTGTCTTTTCCACTAAATTTCTGGCAAGAGTTTAGCTTTTGTTCCCTTCACCACAAACTTGGGTTTAAAGACAAGATCACCAACTCTGACCAGAAAACGAAGGCATGAAATTGCTATGAACAGCAGAGGCAAGAAATAACCACCGTTCGGTCTTATATGCTCAACGCTCCCAGCTTGGTCGGCAACCTCGACGATTTTCAACAGACTTCGGTCCAGGCGAGTTCGGGTCCTGGAGAATGTCCCCTCCACAGTGTGAGGAGGAGCCAATGCCTTTCAAACATTGTGAGTGGGAAACACGGGGGCGCATCACAAACATCATAGGTAGCACTCTGCAACCCACCCCAAGGTCCCACCGGGTCTCCCCACCAGTAACGCTTGTTCATGAAGCATGAAGCGGCATGACACTAGTGAGCTCCACTGAACTGGGTGTGACAGCCGCCACGGGTGGCAGAGAGCGTTCTAAGTGAAGAGACTCTGTTTTCTCAAACCGACACTTTCCCTCAGGTTACAGTGAGGTGTCCGTTTGTGCTGCTAGAATCTGAGGGGAAAAGGGAGCTTCCACGGACAGGGCTGCATTTGTTCACAAGAGCACCCTCAGGAAAGTAAAGAAACAGCTGCCGTGAGGTCGGTGGTTCTCTGTACTGTACCTGACTGCAGCGTCTGCTCAGAGACTACGGATGCATGAGGAGGGAAACAAAGGCTCGTTAGTAACACAGCGAGGCGAGGGCAGACCCGGGGGTGACAAACCGCCCTCGGGCGGCCTCCCTCCGCTCCAGCCCCTCCGATGCCCTGATGTTCTCGGGAGGCTGCAGGGCACAGACTCTAAACATGAACAGCAGCTGAAGCCAACTGTGCATCTGAGGGAAACCGGACAGCGACTCTGCTGTCAGGGGCTGGGCCTACTCCGCAGGCTGCTCCTGTGTGTGTGTGTGTGTGTGTGTGTGTGTGTGACTGTGTGTGTGCCTATACGTGTGTGTGCACACATGTGCACATACACGTGAATGAGAACATGCACCCGAAAACCTGAGAGGCTGGAGGTTCTGAGCGTGGGAAGATACTGCCCTAACATACACCTTTTAGAATTCTTTCTGGGACTCACCAATTGATAAGCTCAATCAATTCAGTTATAACGAAACACACGTATTCCAAAAAAATCACCATGCTGTGCAAAACTGCCATGTCCCAGCCACAGGGTTTATGGGAAAAATGGGGTTAGGGCCAAACAATCGCTTTGGCGGTGACGTACCACAAAGACAGGAACCTAATGAAGACGACACAGTTTTACACGTGTTTGTGGTTCAGGGGGCCTAACTGCTCCTTCATCATGACCCGACGCCAGCTCGCAGCAACAGCCCGGGAGGCTGCAGCCCGAGTCACCGAGTGTCGGAGGCAGGTCCCTGAGTGGCAGCACCAGTGGTGGGAGTGGCTCTCAGCACAGCTGGGGACCCGAGGGAGAGGGGCGAGAGGTGTGTGCACAGGTGTGTGTATTCTTTAAAAATTTTTTTTAATTGATTTTTAGAGAGAGAGGATAGGAGGGGGAAGAGAGACAGAAACATCGATGAGAGAGAATCATTGATCAGTTGCCTCCTGCACATCCCCTGCTGGGGACTGAGCCTACAACCCAGGCCTGTGCCCTGATGTGGAACTGAACCGGGCATCCTCCTGTTGCATAGTTGATACTCAACCACTGAGCCACACCGGTTGGGCTGTATGTGTTTTATATCCTACTCACCTTGCTCTGCTGGGGGCAGTTTTCTGTGTGTACCTGGTTTACCGCCAGTGAAATCATGCAGAGACGAATGCAGAATTGGCACACGCTCAAGATGTTCCCCAAGATGTCACCCACCTTAGGACAAGGCGGCGGCAGAATTGGGTTTGCTTTTTAAGGCCTATTTCACACACAGGAGAACGTGCAGGAAACTAAACTAGGAAACTCGGGTCCCTCGCTCTTCCTTTCCTTCCCCTCGCTGCTTACGGTGGCTTAGTGACGCCTTCGCCTCAAGGGCGGCCCAGGGGGTACAGGGGGAAGAGGTGAGAGGATGCAAACAGCTAAGTCTCCACTGCCGGAAGCAAGAAGGAAGCTTGACATTAAAAGCGTAGGTATAGCAGGTTTTTAAAAAGGATGTTTTTTATTGATTTTAGAGAGAGAGGAAGGGAAAGGGAGAGAGAGAGGCGAGAGAGGCATCAGATCCATTGGCTGCCTCCTGCACCTACAGGGTATCGAGACCGAAACCCGTGCAGCTGCCTTGACCAGGAATCGAACCAGCAACCTATTGGTGCACATGACACCCAACCACTGAGCCACACCGGCCAGGGCCAGATTTTGTGTTTTAAAGCTTTAGTGGGCCTCAGCCCCCCAGCCTACCTACAGAGCCCTGAGGAGCTGACTGTACTTAACGACCTCAGCACCAGGAACAATTCTAAAGAATCCAAGTAATTATCCAAGAGAACATTGCCTGATGAGGAACCATTTCTCCTACGTGCACAGGGAAAACTGGAAGGTTTGGTTTGGAGATAACAGAGGAAATAAAAATGTTGAGTGCTAAGAAGTTAAAATAGAAAAAAACGTAGAGTAAGGAAGTCTAATTTATTAAGTTTTACAATGAATGCTGAGTTTTCTCATGATACTGCTTAGTATATGTTCCTGATATGAGCTCAAGTTCTTGTGGTTTAAATTAAAGGCACAATGAAAGATAAACATATATTTATGTCAAATGTTAAGATTGGAAATAGTGAGGAGAAACCAAGATGGCAGCATAGGTAAACACCGGAAATTGCTGCCTCACACAACCACTTCAAAAATACAACTAAAAGACAAAACGGACATCATCCAGAACCACAGGAAGGCTGGCTGAGTGGAAATTCTACAACTAGAAGGAAAGAGAAAAGCACACTGAGACTCAGAGGAGGTGCAGAAGTAAAGAGCAGAGGTACGGAGGCGCACGTGGAAAGGGCTGGCAGCTGAGGATGCGGTTGTCTTTTTCAATCGGGAGGGAGTCTCAAGCTCCCGACTGCTCTGAATTCCAGTTCCGGGCGAGTCTCTGGGGACCCAGACTCATACGGGGAAAAACTGGACTGTCTGGCATTGGTCGGAACTCGAGGGCGGCTTTCTCTCAGAGGTGCTTGCAGAGATTACTGGTACACTGAGAATCGGGGCCTCTTAGGGTAGGACTGAGGAGCAGCCATAGCTGCTTGCTCCGCCCTGTTGATCCCCAGAGACCCCGCCCCACCCAAGCTGTGCCCAGAGGCTTTTGCATATGTAAGGCCTGGCCCTTTGCAATCTGAAAATTACCTAACAAACTGTAGCTGGGTCAGAAAAACCCAGAACTTCCAAAAGAAGGCCCAAGGCCCCACAGCAGCTTGCATTGCTTCACAGCTGGGCTCCTGCTGGGTAGCCTCAGGCAGAGGCTAGATTAGCACCTCCTTAGAGATCCAAGAGCCAGTGTACCCAGTGGTCAGAGTGGGACCATCCAGATTACAACTCCTCAGATCCATAAGGGACACACTCAGGGGGCAGACTCAGTGAGCACCAAAGCCCCACTGAAGCAAGTCTTGCCCCAGAAGGGTGTCTCCAGCACAGAAGTTCTCCCACCGTAGACACAGCTGATTCTCACAGCCAATTGGCCTGGAGGTCAATCCCTCCCAGTGATACCTACAACAATCAAGACTTAACTACAACAAGACTGTGCACAAAACCCACAAAGGGGTGCACCAAGAGTGTCCACCTCAGGTAATTGAGGAGGCTGAGCCATTGGGCCCTATAGGACACCTAGCACAGAAAACCACTCTATCAACACAGGGAAGCATAAAAAATGCAGAGACAAAGAAACAGGTCACAAATGACAGAAATGGAGGAAAGCAAACTACTGGATATAGAGTTCAAAACCACACTTTTAAGGTTTTTCAAGAATTCTCTGGAAACCGCCGATAAATGTAGTGAGACCCTCAAGAAATCTAGTGAGACCCTCGAGGTTATGAAAAAGGACCAACTAGAAATTAAGCATACACTGACTGAAATAAAAAATATTATACAGAGTTCCGACAGCAGACTAGAAGATCGCAGGAATCAAGTCAAAGATTTGAAATACGAAGAAGCAAAAAACACCCAACCAGAAAAACAAAAAGAAAAAAGAATCCAAAAATATGAAGATAGTGTAAGGAGCCTCTGGGACAACTTCAAACGTACCAACATCTGAATTATGGGGGTGCCAGAAGAGAGAGAGCAAGATATTGAAAACCTATTTGGAGAAATAATGACAGAAAACTTCCCCTACCTGGGGAAAGAAATAGACTTACAAGTCCAGGAAGTGCAGAGAACCCCAAACAAAAGGAATCCAAAGAGGACCACACCAAGACACATCATAATTAAAACGCCAAGGGCAAAAGACAAAGAGAGAATGTTAAAAGCAGCAAGAGAAAGACAGTTACCTACAAGGGAGTACCCATACGACTGTAAGCTGATTTCTCAACAGAAACTATGCAGGCCAGAAGGGAGTGGCAAGAAATATTCAAAGTGATGAATACCAAGAATCTACAACCAACATTACTTTACCCAGCAAAGTATCATTCAGAATTAAAGGTCAGATAAAGAGCTTCACAGATAAGAAAAAGCTAAAGGAGTTCATCACCACCAAACCAGTATTATATGAAATGCTGAAAGGTAGCCTTTAAGAAGAGGAAGAAGAAAAAGGTAAAGATACAAATTATGAACAACAAATACACATCTATCAACAAGTGAATCTAAAAAAATCAAGTGAATAAATAATCTGATGAACAGAATAAACTGGTGAATATAATAGAATCAGGGGCATAGAAAGGGAGTGGACTGACAATTCTCGGGGGAGGGGGAGAAAGGGGTGTGGGGGGTGTGGGAAGAGACTGGTCAAAAATCGTACACCTATGAATGAGGACAGTGGGGGGGTGGTAAGGGCAGAGGGTGGGGTGGGAACCGGGTGGAGGGGAGCTATGGGGGGAAAAAAGAGGAACAACTGTAATAATCTGAACAATAAAGATTTAATTTAAAAAAAAGATTGGAAATAGTGGTGTCCAATAATAAGCAATATTTTAAATTATTTGTTAATATGATTTAGTATTTCTTCAAGCAATAGCAATGAAAAGGTAAGACTAAGTTATAGAAACTTTTGGACAGTGACTAGCAAAATACCCAATATAGGATACAGGTACTGGTTTTTCAGTAAAGCATGTGTTGTCTACATAACTAGGCTATGGAATGCTCTACTAGCTGCATGTTCTGTGAACCCTGCCTTTCACAGTTAGTGTGAACCATTTACCCTCCATCATAACCTATCAGAGAAACATGCATGGGCCTCAGCTTACAGCTTAATAACACCTCTGATCCCGGCCGGTGTGACTCAGGGGTGGAGCGTCGACCCAGGAACCAGGAGGTCACAGTTCGATTCCCGGTCAGGGCACATGCCTGGGTTGAGGACTTGATCCCCAGTGTGGGGCGTGCAAGATGGATGATTCTCTCTCATTGTTCATGTTTCTAACTCTTTCCCCCTCCCTTCCTCTCTTTCTAAAAATCAATAAAAACATATTAAAAGAAAAAATATATTAAAAAAATCATGTTGATAGAAAATCCTTCCAAACCTATTTTAATCAACTCCATCTACAAGTTATTTATGTAACTAAGTTTACATTTCTCTCCTGGACTTCTAGAAGGAATATAAGTGACATAAAGTAGGTAGAATATAAAGTAAGTACGCATACCACGCAAACTTCCAGTGGTTAAAAGTGCTCGCGCTTTGTCAGCTAAATCACTATTTAGAGTGTTTCCCAGGAGCAAAACGTCAATGGCCTCTTGCTTGGAGCTGTCAAAGAAGTTATTCTGAATCGTTCTAGTGACAGAGCGAGCACCATCTTTTAGCTTCCCAGCCTGTTGGGGAGAAAGGAGCAAGGACTCTCATTCTAATCGTGCCATTCCACGCAGCAGGTATTCTGAAACGTAAGGGTGACATAATTGTACTGCAATAAAGGACCTAATCATTCTATTTTGAATAGCGAATCATCACATTAAAATGCTCAGGATGCCACTGTTTCTCTTCCTCTTTGGACCACAGCTCTGCCCAGAGATGGAAGCTCAGTGCCACCACATGAGGACACCTGGGGCGCCGATCGTCCAGCACTGTTTACGGGGAGCGTGAACTAAGCGCACTCCAACAGGAAATCACTTCTACGTCATCACTGCGATGGAGGTGGGGCGGGGAGAAGCAGGGGGAGAGGAGGGTACACTGACTCATAGGCTCTTATGAAAGCTGCAAAGGGCTTTGATAGTAGAAAATAAATTGAAACTATTCCCTAGTAACTTCATTAGTTACAGCTATAACTGAACAGAAGAATGAAGGCCTAGTCTAAAAAGAAATTTACTAATATAGATTACATATAAACTACCATCTACATTTTAGGCCATGGTATTACCTGTGTATATGTAACTAACAAAAATAATAAACTTGGACTAATTCCTACAGGGAGAGAGTTTATATAATGTTCAATGAGCATATACTTACTTAGGTATGTTAGTTACCATAAAGACTTATTTTGATCTTACAGATTTTGATAATTGCTTTAAAAAAACAAAACTTTTGCCTTTTAGGAAAATAGCTTACAATATATTATTTCTATTCCTTAAAAAACTAACAGTAATTGAGGCTTAAAATGTTATTCCCTCCCATATAATTTCATACATAAAGGACATTATTTGAAAAGACACTCACCATTCACATTATCAGGCAATTAATCAAAACGAACCCAGAGAAAGGAAAAGAAAGAACAGTGCAGATGTTAGATTTTAGTTCAATGCAGACGAGTAATTAACATATAAAATTTCGTATCTATCAGGTTAGAGTAAAAGACCACTGACAACATATGTAACCTCTTACGTATATTGTCGCAGTCGCTGAAGAAACAAAAAGGCAAGAGAACGTTGAGGACTTTAAGCAACAGTTGTAGAGCATCAGGTTGTAACAGCAGGAATTATGTTCTTTACGTAAACTGAATAAAGGACAGTTTAACCATTTTAGGCTTTAACAAACAGGATCACTTAGGAGACAATACTGAAACGTCAGCATGTGTGCTCCTATGATGTGAACTGAAGGCACTGGCAGGCAGGGCCCTCTGGCCACATGGCAGCTGTGACGCGGGAGGGAGGCCGACGTGGGAGGGACAAGCACTCGGGGACGGTGAGTGTCGTCCAGAAGGTCACTGGCTGAAGGAAGAGGCTGAGTGAGAAGCAGCGGTGACTGTCCTGCTTCTATTCTGAAGCAATCTGAGGAACTGCAGAGACTTAAAATTCACCTGGGGCCACGAGCCTTAAAATGTCCGTATTGTATATAAGATAATGAAAAATATCTCAAGTATGTTTCCAAAGTCCCTCAATATGGGCCCAATATTAGAGTGGAAAATAGTCTGCAGGTCATGCCAGCAATAAAATGCAACAATGAGGCCCAGAATTACAATTAAGTCCATAGCTCACACTTCTTTTGCACATTTTCCTAAGTCTCATTTTCAAGGTAAAGTAAGTAAAGCATAAAAACATAACCATTAAGCCCTAATAGTGTTGGGCTCACAGTAGGTGTTGCAGAAACTGTCCACTGATTTATCTGTCCATCCAGCGTCTGTCATATGTTTATTAAATAGCGGGCACTGTGTTAAGTGCTGGGGACCCCAAGCCAAATATGATAGGACCCTTTATTACGAAGATCATGGTTAAAAACATCCTACTTATAATAAAAACTAGAGGCCCGCTACTTATAATAAAAACTAGAGGCCCGGTGCACAAAATTCATGCACGGGGGGAGGGGGGTCCCCTCAGCCCGGCCTGCACCCTCTCGCAATCCAGGACTGTTGGCTCGTAACCGCTCGCCTGCCTGCCTGCCTGCTTGATCGCCCCAACCACTCTGCCTTCCTGCCTGATCACCCCTAACTGCTCGCCTGCCTGACTGATCGCCCCTAACTGCCTCTGCCCCCACCTCTATGGCTTTGTCCAGGACGGCCGGAAGGTTGTTCAGCTGTCCGGTCTAATTAGCATATTACGCTTTTATTATTACAGATAACAGTATAAAAAGTAAAACAAATATGCAAGGGAAGAGTCATTTTTTAAAAATGTAAGCATGTTACATACAGGCCTCAGGGATTCTCACTAAATGACTACATATGTCTGTCATACAGCCCCTCTGCCAACCTGGGGAACAGACCTGCTCGATCAGGGCCCCGAGAGGAGGAGTGAAAGAGGAGCAGAGGCATGATAAGGCAGAATTCTAAACAGGGAACTTGAAAACCCTCTGAATTAATAAAGAGGCACTGAAAAGCCTCACCAAGAGGGAAGGAGGGCCTTGTCTAATTCAACAGAGCCACTCACCTTGGCCTTTCCTTCCAGAGCCCCGGTCCCGGCGTAGATCTTACTGATGGAGTCACCGTTCACCGACCACATGGAGCGGAAAACCTCCTGAAAGCGAGTCACCAACTGGGGCTTCTCAGCCAAGCCGAGGGCTTCCAGCTGTTTCGCCAGCATCTGAAACAGCCAGGAGTGACTTTGGTAAGTGTGTTAATACGCTAATTGTGATGTGACTTTTTAAGAGCTACCAGGAGTAAACAGAAAGTTTGCAGCGATAGGACTCTGTAGGACTGGATTCTAAAAACCTAACAGTTCACTAGGCTGTGTTGTTTCCCACCATTTCTATTTTTAAAGTAAACACCACATCAATGAAACTTACAAGCAACTGAATATTCCCTTGTAGTAAGAAGAACATCTTTCTGGCTAAACAATAAAATCGTATTAAAGTATCCCTATAAATCGTACTACTTTACCTCGTTCATCTAAAAGAACTAATTATTCAACAGCATGGAGCAGAGCAGAAAAAATATTTACCTAGTTTATCTAAATGTATATAGAATAACTAAGTTCCTTTAGTTTTTAGATTTAGTTCTGAAGTTTGGGTAATAAGGTCTGGAGATTATGAGGAAAAAAGAGCTGCTCTTGAACTGTCACAAACCAACACTAACATCGGTGCTGTGCGCCCAGGGCCTGGAGGAATGCAGCGGGCCAGGGTCTCTGGCCACCACATCCCCTCATCACAGGGCGCAGTAAGTGTGCAGAAAGCCACTGCTCTTTACTCAGGATGAACTGTGCCTCGAAACCCGGCAGAGTCAAAGCGATGCACAACCCTCACCTGGCCCTTCTCTCACTTGGAGTCCAGTCATAATGTATGCCTGGAACTCACTGAGCTCCGTCCTCTTTGGGTTTTCTTTTACCTTATCTGTAAGGATGGGTACTACCCATAAACCTCAAGGGATCAAAAACTAAAATCCTATGAAAAACCCTAACCCGGGGTTGACTGCCAGGGCTGGTACCAGCGCCGTTCCTCACTGGCAGAGAAGGAAGCAGACCAAGCCAGGGCCGCCTTCATCATTCCGACCGCTCTGTCTTTAAGAAGCTGCGCCAACTGGTCTTCACTGCTAGGCTGGCTTTGCCTGCTTCACTAGTAAGTTTGGTAACCACTTAACCAGTTCCTCACACCTGACTATCAACAGTGGATAACCAGCCGAGTCAGATTCTGAAAAGTGAAACCTGTTGCACTTTTTTTAAAAAAAATATATTTTATTGATTTTTTAAAGAGAGAAAGGGAGAGGGATAGAGAGTTAGAAACATCGATGAGAGAGAAACACCGATCAGCTGCCTCCTGCACACTCCCCACTGGGATTGTGCCTGCAACCAAGGTACATGCCCTTGACTGGAATCGAACCTGGGACCCTTGAGTCCGCAGGCCGACGCTCCATCCACTGAGCCAAACCGGTTAGGGCCTGTTGCACTTTTAACAAATCTTTAAAGTGCCTCAGTCAACTCGCTCTCAGAATCCACATCAATGCATCCAACCAGCTAAAAACAGAGTTAGCAGCACCGAGCCACACAATACACTCCATCCAGAAGGCCAAATGCCCGCTTTCACTTTTCTTGTCTGTCATATTTTCTAAGTACATTATAATGATAAATCTCAAAGACAGATTTCAGAAAGGGCAAACAGTAAAATTTATTTAGTTACTTGAGAAATGTCTCAAAAGACATTTCTGTAGCAGAGAATTCTACACACTGTGGTTTCATTTTTGAGACAGAAAGAACCGCAGCTCCGGCAACTAATCCACCAACACTCCGGCCCCAGGTCAGACCATGCACGGAGGAATAGGAACGCGGGACTTCCTGTCCTGTTTCCACGGCCGCTGAGAACTGCTCAGTCCCTGCGGAAGGAGTAAGCGAAGACCCGCCACAGCCGCGGCCCTCACCGCAGGATGGAGGACTTTGCGGGCACGGCGGCTGTGTGTCCAGCACTGACACTGCGTCTGTATTTGACTGGCCCCGATGGTTACGAGGCAGAGAAAAAAGGGTCTTCACAAAAGACCCTTCGAGAAGCTGATCTCATTCACTTCCATGCTTGCTAACACAGTCCAGTCCTTCAGAGCCACTGACTGGACGCCATGCAGGCTGCACTGGGTACAGACCATCCAAACGCACCCTACAGGCTGTGCATGGTCAGAGCCTCTCCATCCAAGAAACCTTTCAAGGACCACACAGAGAACGAGGACAGTACGGATATATACGTCTTTCTTCTTCTTCTTCGAAAGAAGGCAAAAGAGGCCGTTACTGGACTAGGAGAAGCAGCAGCGCTGGGTTTATCGGGAAAGTTAAGGAGTAACGGAGGGAAACACAGCTATACGTGGAGTACAACAGGTAAAGGGAACTAAAAAGACGAGGGATGTGGGGGGAAAAAAAGAGGAGAAGGGAAATGCCTTTACTGAACCTAACTGCTCTGGGGGCGGTCATGAGCGCCACTGAGAGGCACCGCACGGTCACGCACAGGACAGCCACGCACAGGACGGTCACGCACAGGACGGCCACACACAGGACGGCCACGCACGCACGCTGGCTCCTTACCTCCAGGCCCAGGAAGGCCTGCACGCTGTTCGTCCTGTCCAGGCAGTCCAAGCAGTTGGTGCGGACGGTCCCACTCTGGCACCTGCAATGAAGTCACTCAAATTAAAGAGGTTGTTTGAGAAAAAAACAACAGAACTCAAACAAACTGAGAAAAATTAAGGTGATTAAAAGGTAGCATCCACTTTCTCCCCCCGATTTTTTATCATTACAATTTTCAAACATAGAAGAAAGGTGAAGAAATTCTACAGTGAATATCTGTCTACTCACCAGGTCCTACAACTGTTACCATTTTGCCACCTGTTCTTTATCACATTCCTACCTGTTCCTCCACACCCACTTATTCTTAACTAGCCCAGCAGTGAAGAATACATTCAGACTTACAACACCATAGTTCTCTGCACATAAAAGATATCAAACATTTAAGGAATAAATTTTGAAAACCTAAGATCGTAGGGACCGGCTACAGGGTTAAGCCTCGGATGACCTGTTCAAAGCCACAAACAAGTCCCAGCTTAGAGGGCACAGCCCTCTTAGCATAATTAGGCTTGACCTTATGACGCTCCCTAGATCCTTAGCTAATGGGCTGTGGGAGGTGCAGCAAGTGCTACCAAAACAAGTGAAACTCACAAGAACACTGTAACTATGGTGACCACTACCTTGTTTACCTCTGGCTATAAAATAAAGGCTCAGCTTGCCTCTGGGTCTCTCTCTGTGGCCTCAGCCAGGCACAGGAAGACCCCCCTAGACCCAGCTTATTCTCTTTGTCTTTTCTTCAGTCCTTCACCGGCCTCCCTCAGGCTCGCCGAACCCTTGGCTGAGCTGGCCTGGCACATACGATCTCTTATCTCTACTGACTGTCCTATGAAGTTTCTATAGCATTAACATATAGTAAATACTGTACACTGAAAAAATGTGAGCTTTGTTTACCAAAGATTACCTCAACCTATATTCTTAATTTCAATCTTTCAATACTTACTTTTCTCCTCTACTTCATATGCAAAAGCTAACACTAAATTACACTAAAGCAGACAATACGCAACGTCTTTTACTTCCATTTGCATTTAGTTGTCTTTACGAGGCAAAAATATTAAAACATCATTTTAAGAGAGAAGTGGAACAGCCTCTCAGTACCAGGCTGGGGTCGGGAGCCTGAAGGATTCTAGCTCTCACACACCCTGGTCACGTGACGAGGGGCAGGCTACGCCAGTGCCTCCATCTCCTCCCCTGCAAAAAGGGATAGAATAGGGCCTCGCCGCTGTGGCTGATACGTGGAAAACCCAAGGGCACCGCCTGGCCACAGTATGTACCCAATAAAGTAAGCTATTGTTATTACCTGCTGAATTCTGAAGAAAAACAAACCTAAATTCAAGTATAGTCATTATAAACTTTGATTTTAAAAAAGACATTTAAGGGTGTAGTGTTAAGAGTCATTTTTAAATTATAGCAAAGTTCCAATTTAAAGGAAAGAGAAACGGAGCAGGCGAACCTTCGAACATCACTTCCGTCGAAATGAAAAAAGCCGTAATCGAGGAACCTCTGGACCTGAGGCCGGAGGACGCTGTGCAGCTTACATCGGCCTTGCCCCCCTTCACCAGCTGGTGGTAGTCGAAGCTCACCATCTGCACGTCGGCCGCGTGCTCCGAAGCCTTCAGGTGGCTCTGGGAGGGAAAGGCAGGCTTCACCCAGGGGGAGCGCACGAGGCCCCCCGTGTACCTGTGACGGGAACCTGACCCTGAGAAGCAACACTGACGCGCAAGGCTTTCATCCACGCAGCAGCCAGTACCTGATGCCATGTTTCTCCTGACCCTCCGGCCCGGCCCCGAGCGGCGCGGTGATGGGCAACCAGAGAACTTAACACTTGGAGTGCGGGAAACGAGTTAAGTCGGCTCGCGTGAATTGCGCGTACTCCACGGGAGCCGTCTTTAACTCGGTTCATATAGATTTGCGGTGGAGTGCGGGAAACGTGTAAACTCGGGCCGATTGTAACTGCGTATTACCAAATATTTGTTTGTAATCCACCCTTTTGGTGGATGGAACAAAACCAAAAGACAGAGCCATCTTATATTTTGGCGGGAAATTCACCCCACACCGGAGTGTTAAGTAACATTCTCATCCGGTTTAGAAAATGAAAAGCTATTTCCACCCACTCGCATTTCATGTTTACAATCCAAATTTAATAACTGTTTATATCTACCATAAATCTCAAAATAAAGTGGCTCTTGTTTTAAGACAAAGACTATAAAACATAAAATTCTTTTTTATATCTTTGTTCAATACATACAAATGCTTTGAAAGTTTACCATAAAAAGTTATTCTCTAATGTATAATCTGTTTATTAATAATATTTATTTCACAAAGTTAAAACAAAATAGCTGAATAATTCTGGAGCTCATTAGATTGAAATTAAGGAAATGTTTCTAACCATTTTGTTTAAGCTTATAATTTTATATAACATCATAGTTTATATTAACTATTAAATTGGTGTTTATGAAGAATGTTTTCTTTAGAAGGCTTATCTTTTACTTGAAATTCTCATATTCCTCTCATCAACACGAGAAGGTGTGCTCCTGCTGTACATCAAGGCATTCATCACCACCTCAAGGGCTAACAGTGACTGGTTTCCAGCAGTGGGCAAGCGATTGCAGGTGGAGGAGCAACCAGGAGAGGAGCACACAGGGGGAGGAGCAAACCGGGGGAGGAGGACAGCAGGGGGAGAGGAGCACACCGGGGGGAGGAGGACCCCAGGGGGGGGAAGACCCCAGGGGGGGGAGGACCACAGGGGGAGGGACCCCCCCGGGGGGGGAGCACCCCAGGGGGAGGGGCACCCCAGGGGGGAGCACACCAGGAGAGGGAGGAGCACACCAGGGGGAGGAGCACAGAGCACACCAGGAGAGGAAAATATCAGGGGGAGGAGCACACCGCCTGGGTCTTGCCCAGGACAGAGGGACACTTGGGGGAGGATCTTCTGCTTCTCCACCACAGCAACAAGCCCACTTCGGGAAAGTGTCAACAGCCTTGACGACTTCCCACAACCCCAGGCTCGCAACCTCACCCTCAAGCGTTTCCTAACAGCCGAAGGGCTAACGTCCCACGAGCACCACCCTTCCTCCAGGCAGCCTTTCCTTCCTGGCAGATCCCAGGACTCTACTGCATGGTCACACCCTCCTTACCTGGAAGGCCTTACTGAGCATATGTTCACCTTCCTTAGATCCAAGCAGGTTTATTACTATTTGTTTGCCATACAGACTCTTAAGTGTTCTAAAATGCCTGTTAAACAAAGAAAATAAGCACATGTCAAGTGATAAGGTGACATTTTTTTTCAATAAATAAGAACCATTATTAATCAGAACTTACATGGTCCTGTTTAAACTCAAAACTGGCAAAATTGAATACAGATTCATTCCACGTGGTCTCAGGAACGGATGGGAACTCAGTCAGTGTCCTCTCTGACTGCGGGTGCCGGGCCCCACCAGTGCTGGAGCTGCGGGTCCCCCGGTCCCTCTCCCCGGGAGCCTGGTGCTGGCCCAGCACAGAACACAGGCTGGGCGGGCAGAGGGCGCAGGGCTGCCCCTCACACCCAGGACATCACAGCCTCCGTGAGCGTTTAACCCAGTGCAGCCAAACCTCACTGCACATGTGATCCACATACTAAAAAATGGTAATACTGTCACAGTCACTTCAATTCTTTGTTTTGCACTACGTGCTTGAAATCCAGTGTATACTTCACACTCCAGCACATCTCCATACGGGCCAGTCGTGTACCCAGCAGCGACATGGGGCTGGGGGCTGCGGTGCTGGGCGGCCGCCCGCAGGGAGTCTTAAGGCCGAGACCAGTGCTGCCACTGCTAGAGGTCGTAACACTGTCTCCGGTTAAGTCAGGATCAGAAGACATTTTACTTGGAGCCAAAAACCGTAAAATGAACCCGTAAATGTAATGACCACAGGTCTCACCGCTTAACAACTTCAAAACCGAGAGCACCTGTACACAGAACCAGCCCTACCTGTCAAAGGCGGGCGCATTGGCTTCGAAGCCCCTGGACATCCGGACACGGTGCGAGCCCACCTGGGACAAGAAAGATGTGGTCACACCAACAGCCACCATGAGACCACAGACAAACCACCGCCATGCGCGGTCATGCATTCGCTGAGCACAGAGCAGTGCGCCAGGTCACTGACCACTCACCACAGTCTCTTAAAAAGACAAGTTCTAAAAAAAAAAAAAAGGCAAGTTCTAGGAGTTTCTCCTCCCTTTTATTTTTTAAAATGTAACCTCGTAACAAAAGAGCTAGAAGACAGACCATTATGAAACACTTGTAAACTAAGAGAAAATTTTAGTTGTGAAAGATACGTGTAAGCAGCGACCCCTTACACAGTGCGGACCGCGTGTGCCAGGCACCGGTCTGCGCACCTCCCATTCCGTCCGCACGAGAACCCTCAGCAGCAGCTGCACTGCCACTGCCACTCCCTTCACAGACCCCCGCCCAGGCCCAGGGCAGCAGCGGGAGAGGGAAGATTATTCAGAGCTTTGTTTTCAGGGACGCATTTTCCTGCCCTCAGAGGCTAAGTTGTCGTGTACTAAGCTACTGAGAGAGCAAATACGGAAACCCTAAAAATCCATGTACTGTGAAAACATCCAGATTTTATCAAACACAGCAGCTGAATTTCTACGGATGTTGAAAAAACATTACAGGGCAAACATATCTGATACAATTCCAGGAACTCTGCACTCTGGTCCTTGTTTAGGAATCTAGCTGATATTAGATTGAATACAGAACTCTCCAAAGAACCAAAAAACGATCCTGGAAACTTAAAACATATGGAAACTTTCAAGAGAAAAAAACAACAACTTCGAACACCTACCTGCAAGCCTGGCTGCTCCCAGAACAACGGAACCGAGCCCCGGATTTGGATGAAGGAAGAAACGGAGTCATCTAAGTACACGACCTGTAGAGAGAAGCACAGATAAAATCGTTCTGTAGGCATGGCTGCCACTCTATGTCAGGAGACAAATTGACTAATATTGGTTGCACAGGTTGTATCTTATGACCCACCTCTCATACACAAATTGTCCTAACAAAATATCTCCTATATATACAGGGTGGGGCTAAAGTAGGTTTATAATTGTTTGTGTGGAAAATACGATAATTAATAAATAATAATAATACAAGGTTAAATTCTGTTTTGCGTATACTCCTAACTATAAGGCACTTTTGCCCCAACCTGTATTAACCAGAAAAATATCCTATATAATAAAAGGCTAATATGCAAATTGTCCCCTTGACTGGGAGTTCGACCAGTGGGGAGGGGCCAGCTGGCCAACCACCCGTGGCCCCTCCCTCCGGCTGACCGGCCCAATTGGCCCCCATTGGGGCAGGCCAGCCAGACCCCACCCATGCACAAATTCATGCACCAGGCCTCTAGTTAGAAATATAAGCATAGGAATCACAACTTTTAAAAAGGAATTCCTGTTAAACAGTACATATCTTTCTATTTTTTATACACATACCTTTCTATTTTCACATACTTTTTTCTTTAGTTTTTCATATTTTTAAAAAATTAATTTGAAGATGTGAGCTGGGCTTGAGATGTGAACTAAATTTGCAATTATATAGTTTCACAGCAAAAAATATCATAATTTTTAAGTTTGGATGGTTCAAATATCTACAGATGAGAGTTGGGATTGACTTCATTTTACAGAAAAACACTTTTCCCAAGTTGTCTAGCTCTGTCAACAAAGATTTTAAATTCAACACCAAAGTGTAGGCCCTGGCGGGCCATGCTGAGCAGTGAAACGCCTGCTCCTATTTGGAGAGCGTCCCCACCCTCCTGCTGCCCTACTGCTTCCTGTGCGTCCACCGCCCACAGGAAGGGAGCAATAAAACCCTGGTACCTGCTCCGTTTCTACAAAATTGGCGACGTGGCCATCGTCGTTGGTGCCGCGGACATTGAACCTGGTCCCGGCGCGCTCGCAGCTCAGCCTGGAGATGAGGCAGGCCTTGGCCTGCTTGTGGGCCGCGTAGATGGTCCTGACCTCGACGCCCCCGCACATGAGGCGCAGCAGCCAGTCGTCACAGCTCACGCCGTAGTGCTGCAGGTGCAGGTGCAAAGACTGGTTCCTGGGGAGAGGCAGGGCCGCCTCAGTCCCGGAGCACAGGCAGCACAGCACCGGCTCCTCCGGGACCCGCCGTTAAACCAAAGGCACTGACAGTCGGTCGGCTCGTGTACGTTTCCCACGCTAGGCCTCAGGAGGCTGGGCGTGAAACGAGATCCCGGGCAGGTGACCTGCGCCCAGCGCAACGCCTTTCTTCACCTTTTCCGGGACTTGTGTCTCGTCCATCAGGGAGGCGCAGGGTTGGCACGAGCAGCAGAATCTGTCCCTCGCCTGCGCCCTCCCGCCCTCCCACACCATCTCCTCCTCTGCTCCTTCCCACTTACTCATAGCACTGAACTTGACCTGCATCCCATTCCTACTGAGCCAAATAAAATTAAAATAATAGGGGAATGTTGGCTTAGAAGGGCAATACTGCCAGAGACAAGATCTCAAAACTAAGAACAATAACATGAGTAACACAATCCTATTACAACGAATTCATTCCTAATTTTAAACTATAGATCTTAAAGATATTTCTGAAATGAGAGGTTAGTCGAGACCAGGGAGAGCAAATAGGTTTCATGACAAGGTCTATGAAGTGACAGTGGGCGTCGGCCTTGCCCGCTGAGGATTCTGGGGCAGAAGGTGTGCGGCTGCACGCCCACCCGCCGTCTGAGAGGACACGCTGGCCCAGTGGCCGCCTCCGGACTCACCAGAAGAACCTGTTGTCGGTCGTGTGCTCCTGCATGCGGCGGTGGGCGTTAAGGCTCAGGTCCAAGCTGACCCCCGAGGCCGACCACGCGAAATAGAAGTTCCCCGAGTTCAGCACCTTGCGCACTTCGGAAATGCGATCCTCATCGGAGGAGTCGGCTCGCAGGGATATAAACTCCGTGGAAGTCACTCGGAACACTTCAGATTCTTGAATTTTCCCCACAGACATGCACCCGGTGACGAGGACCAGATAATGTAGCGTGGTGTCACCTGCGGAGAGCAGACTGCAGTGACTCGAAGGCTTTGAGAGAGAGTGTCAATCATCCCAGACTCCACATGTGAGCTGCCCGCGTGGTGACGTCTTTCAACCCTGATCAATCTAATCTGGGATGGTGTTGGCTGACGGGAGGCTCGCCGCCTGCTCAGGTTAATTATGTTGATGATAAACTTACCCAGGTTGAGGCGTAAAACACCGAGGAGTCCATATGCATCCAGCACTTTGGAGTATGTACTCTTGATCGCCTCCTTTTCTGCAGAAGCTACAAAAGAAAAAAGTTTTAGGATCAGAAATAAGACCTGATACATCAGGTTTTATTTACCTATAAAGTCAGAGTTTCAACCAAAAATTTCTAATTCTAAATCTGATATTCTTAACAAAGGTGTTGCAAAAAATACTTTCTCCGACTTGTAGCCTAAATGTTCTTCCCAAAGAGTGAGCCCAGGCTCCAGCACTACCTACTGACCCATCCCTCCCACCGACCTGTGTAACAAGATCTTTAGCAATCTTCGTTTGGGGGCTGTTTAGATTTTTCTTTCCTCCCCCCCGCTGACAGGTTTGACTGCTGTACTACTAGAACCACCGCTCTGACGCCCCCTACAGGGTAACACAGTCCTTAACAAGAGAGCTCTCTGAATTGGCCCCAGGCACCCTTCCTGTTTCGTTTCTCATCACCCCCACTCCTCGCATCCCCTGCTCTCACCACACTCTCACCAGTGCTGTCTCACTCGCCCTTTCACAGTCTGCACCTCCGCACAGCACAGCCGTCTGGCCTCCTGCCTGCAGGGCTCTCCCCACCTCTGCCTCCTGGCAAATTCCCTTCACCTGACAGATACGAGGCAGAAGGTCACTTTCTGGAAGCCTTTCTGCATCCCCAGCACAGCTCGGTCAGAGCTCCGTCCTCGTGTTACCGACACTGTATCTGTCCTCACTTCCTTCCCTTCGCCAGGCTGCCCGAGGCTGCAGCCCTGTCCTCCTCGCCCTTCCATCCCCACACGTAGGCTAGGGTTTCACACTCAGGGACTGAGCACCGTTTACAGAATGAAATGAACCACCACACAGCTTCGCATGGGAACAGGAAATCTTCCGTCTGGCCTTTGTCTTGTTTCTTCCACAATAAAATTGATGTTATCTTGCTAATGAACATACCCCACAGAATAATTTCTGTATGGCAGGCTGTTTGATTGATATACTAAGAAAAAAACAACAACAAAAACACCCTCTGGAACTTTAAAGGAAAAATCTTCCTAGTTCTTAGCAAATACATTGATTAAAAATTTGACAGAGAACCAAAGAAAAGTAACCCACAGCTAGAATCTCAAAGGATAATTACAAACAACACCTTCTCACACCTACACACGCAGAAAGGCACGAGCCCTCGCTCCCTCCGCCTCCCTCCAAGTCCTTTCCCCTCCCTCCCGCCACCGCTCCCAGCCCGCCTGCATCTTCCCGGAGAAAGCAGCGCTCTCTCCAAATGGCGCTGCGGTGATAAACTCTGATAATACCGTGTCAGCCCCGCCCTGGGCATTCTTCTTAACGAGGAAGAAAGATTCCTTTGTTTTATGAAACTCCATGAAATACGCAGAAATATATGGTGTAAGAGGGAGAGACCTAATCGAATTATTGTCCCATTTCTCAGCAATTTAGTTCTGGAAAATAAGGTGAGCATCTCCCACTGTGAGATGAGTTAGGATAAGAAAGCCAGGCCGCTTTAAGACACCGTGCAAACCGGTGAATGGCTCAGGGCGCATCCCCCCTGCCCCTCCTCTCCCACAGAGTCCCTGGCCGCCCCTCTCCCCGCTCCTCCTGGGTCCGAGTTCGTTCTTTCCATCCGGGAATACCCGTCAGTCATCGTTCCAAACACTCGCATCCCGCCTCCAATACCTAACGCAGGCACCACTTCCTTCCCGACCCTCTCCCTGACCCCTGTGGCTGCAGGTCAGCCGGTCTCTGTGTCACACACACCGCACAGCACACACTGCGTCCTGAGAGCAACAGGAGCCCGGTCTCCTTTCTCTGCATCTCAGCCCCACACCAGCCCCACACGGAGACGGAGACGCCGGCCGTGCGGCTGCCGAGTGTGCATCTGCTAGACCAAGACGAATCGAGAGGCTCAGCACCAGAGGAATTGTTTTGTTTAAAATAATACATAAAAAGAGGTACTTTTTTTATCCTCTCCCAAAGATATTTTTCCTTTTTTTTTTAGAGAGAGAGAGAAGGGCGGGGTGGGGGGGGGAGAGAAACATCGATGCGAGAGAGACACATCGACTGGTTGCCTCCCACACGTGCCCTGACTGGGGCCGGGGGTCTAACCTACAACCCAGTCCGTGCCCCGACAGGGAATGGGACCCATGACCCTTAGGTTCTCAGGACGACGCCCTAACAACTGGGCACACCGGCCAGGGCAGAAGAGAAACACTTTCCCCTGGCACGGACAGTACCTGAATGCTCTCTTATTGAAATTTAACAATTCCTCACGGGACGTCTGGAAATGCAAAGGCGATGCCGGGTGTCTGAGGTGGACGTGAGGGTGGGCGTGGGAGACAGGCGTTGTTCAATGACTTCCAACCAGGTTTAAACTGGGGGCTGTCACCTGCTAAGGTGTGTGGGGTGCTCAGCAGAGCCAAGGGCAAGGATAATGGAAACGGGGTCCGGGCGTGGGGACAGGAAGCTCAGGTCCCTCTCCTGCCACAATGAGCTTCTGCTCACCTCTGTCAACATTCTGCTGAGGCCACGCCGCCCGGCTGGGGGACAGCCTGTCTCTAGGGCTGGCAGGGAGCGGGCAGGGGAGCTATGGGGGCAGCCCTGCCCTCTCTCGGGGCTGGGCAGGGAGCGGGCAGGGAGCTATGGGGGCAGCCTGCCTCTCTCGGGCTGGCAGGGAGCGGGCAGGGAGCTATGGGGGCAGCCTGCCTCTCTCGGGCTGGCAGGGAGCGGGCAGGGAGCTATGGGGGCAGCCTGCCTCTCTTGGGAAGAGGGAGCTATGGGGGCAGCCTGCCTCTCTTGGGAAGAGGGAGCTATGGGGGCAGCCTGCCTCTCGGGCTGGCAGGGAGGGGAGAGGGAACTAAAGAAAGTTAGCGAGAATGAGAGAACAGGATGACAGTGAGCGTGACCTTCCTAGAACCATGCTTTGCCTGTGGCTGCACGCCCCGTGGTTTGTGGGCAAGGGATTTGCATGTGGGCAGCACCGGGGCAGGCAGACCCAGAGCCTCGAGGCAGAAAAGCCCAGCGAGGAGGCGGCACAGCCGCTGGGTTCCAGACGAGACTGGAGGTTGGGTGATTCACCGGAGATCACAGAATCGGCCGCAGGAGAGCCGCTCTCCATCTCAGCACACACCAAGGGAAGAATGTTCTACAAGGCCAAGGTTTTCTCTGCATAATTAAATAATTAAAACTCCAGCTGGAAGACATTAAACCATCCAAAGTAATGTTCCACTTAAGCTACACATTTCAATCTTGGCAACAGGCCAAAACCAAAACCACCTTTCACACATGCATGCAACAAGTATGCGCCGAATGCCTGCCGGGTCCCGGTGCCCATCCCTCTGTCAGGAAGACGGGCATTCACAGCCATCCACACGCAGGTGAGAAGTGTGGACGCGCTGGGACGGAGTCCCACAGACCTCACCAACCTCACTTACACTCTGCAGAAGTGGCCTCGCAGCTGCAGCCTGAAGAAGGACCAGGCGGCGAGCAATGAGAAGTGGAGGCACCAGTGTTCCGGGCAGCAAGCACACAGCTCCGGCCAGCAATCCCAGCCCTGAGCCCACCCATCGGCAAGGTGTGCGCTGGGCACCAGCAGGCAGCACAGGATGTGCACCCGTGTCATCCCTGACAGGACAGACGCCGGAGAGCCATACACGGACACCACACCAGCAGAAGTGAACAAGCTACTGTCACAGGCTACCACACGGTGGTCTCCCCCGTGGGCCGCTGAAAGAAAGCAGCAGACATGACAGAAGACAGAGTGAACGGCTCCATTTCTGTTCAGCTCAAAGCCAGATAAAGAAGCGGGGCCAGGGACCACCTTTGCAGGTCAGGGGGAGGCCACTGGGAAGGGACAGAGGGACTCTCTGGAGAGCGAGCCACAATGCTCCACTTCTCCACCTGGGGGCGGCGACATGCGAGTGGGGGCACTCATACTTCATCAAGCTGAACATTGACTCATGTACTTTTCTACACGTGGGAAGAAGTTTATTTTTAAAAGTAAAATGTTGAGCAGAGAGAACAGCATGTGTAAGACCCTGAGACCAGACAGCATTCGGCACATTTTGCACCAAAAGGTCAGTGTGGCTGCAACACAGAAACCCCGGAGCGCTGGATTCTAGGGTCAGTGTCAACCACTGAGGTATTAAGCGAGGGAATAATATGACCAACTCGTGTTTTTAGAGACCGGAGCGTGGGTGGGGGGGTGGGGGCAGGAGACGGGTTAAGAAGGCGAGCAGCATGGTTCATGAAAGGGGCCCCGGGGGCCGGCTGGGACAGAGCCATAAGGGGTGCGGGCCGCTAGGAGGCTGAGCGGCCTGGCCCGGGTGGAGTGAATGTGATGAGAGGAAGCGTGCAGAATGATGCTTAGGGTGTTAGGGGATGGAGTGAATGTGATGAGAGGAAGCGTGCAGAATGATGCTTAGGGTGTTAGGGGATGGAGTGAATGTGATGAGAGGAAGCGTGCAGAATGATGCTTAGGGTGTTAGGGGATGGAGTGCAATCCATGAGGTAAGGAAGACGGAACCAAGAGCAGGTCTGGAGCGAGGAGCTGGCACGACCCCAAGGCTCACCAAGGCCCACCTCGCTTGCTCCCCTTCTCTCGGGAGCAGCGTCTGTTCATGCCTGGAAGTTGTGTCATACACTGGGTTTGTTTCGTCCGCTGTTATTCATGGTGGGAAGGTAAATTCAGTTACTGTTACATCAGGGTTAGAAGCGAACATCCTGTTATGGTCCTGGGCTGGTAATATTTTACAGGACAACTGAGAACATCTGCTAGACCTTAAATCATGTAATAAAAAGTCTCATGATGGGGTTTACTGCTCGGTGAGAGAAACTGCCTTCGCCTTCTATTTCCTGATGGCAAAGTTAGTGGCAAAAAGTGAAAGCACGCGGGGAGCATAGCTGGCCCTACTTGTTGGCTAACCCTGCCACCCAGACGGAATGGGAGGGTGAGGTTATTTTTTTTAACCCCTAGAGTGCCAGGGAGCGCGACTGTGCTCCTCCTGCAGTGTCCAGTTCTAAGTCTGCTTTTATTAGTGATGATGATATTGCTAAATATGTCAATTCTTGCTGTGAAGATGATGATTTTGTGGAAGATATTGAA